CAAATTGTGGCTCTGATTTATCTAAATTAGGCCTGCTTTGTTCCAGACTGATTTGGACCCCAAAACACCTGATCCAGAGCTGATTTTTATGAATCTCCAGAATATCACAGACTTGCATTGCCAAATAAAAATGCCAAAACTTTCATCGTCAAGGCATGAGATTTGGTTACATTATAACCCCTATATGGGGGATTAAACCTGTTGAATTACAGACGGTCAATGCCGGGGTTTCATGCAAGACATTTTAAAAGTTTAAAATGCTGCAGGGTTAAAACAAGTACAAAGTTTTTTTACATTGTGACACGGAATTTGCAGATTACAGGTGGGTAGATCCAGGGGTTTCATACTCAACACATTTTACAGTTGCTTTAAAATACATCTTTAAAAATCCACAGTGAGAGTCCAATCCTGCCAGTTCTCAAGAATATTATTATTCCTGATTTCATAAGACTGTGGCTAAATAATATGCCTGCAAGTTTGGGTGGTCTGTCTAATAATAATAAAATAACCCCACTAGGCTACTGCAGGACACAAGCTGGGACTAATAGTAACTGGAACCAATGTGAAAGTGTGTGGGGGGGAGAGCTCTTTTCTGTTATATATATGCATATATGTTTCTGTTGCCTGTGTTTTTAATTCCATTTGAAAATATAATAAAAATCCACAGTAAATATAAATTCACTTTTCTTAACTCCATGCCACTTTCATGTTCTATCTATTAGGGGTTACCGCCCACACACTTCCGCTGCGCTTTTCTGCTTGTGTGGTGGCATCTCGGTAAACCACTTCTTACTGTTTGTAGCTGAGTTTTCCCCGGAGGCAGAGGACAAGAACAGGAGTCATACTCAAATCCACAGTCAAGAGCTTCTTTATTGCTTGGCGGGTTGCACAAGCATTTCTGATACTATTATATACAAGCTATTTACATTCCTTCTTTATCTCTCCAGCACGGTATAATCTCAGTCCAGTAATTAACAATCCTGACACAGCAAAACTCACAGTATCAGCAGCACACATGGTCTTACTTCCAACCTTGTTGTCAGCATGTGTACTGACAGTGTGATGGCCTGGGATTCGGATTTGGATGCTGAACCTGAGGAATCCCAGCCTGCACAGGATTCCCCGCTTCCAGAACCAGCTGAGCTGGGGCTGGGGCATGAGCCTGAAGGGTCCTCACCTGTGCTGGATCCTCAGGTGCAGGCACCAGCTGAGTCTGCTCTGGCTCCTGAGGGGATGGAGGACCCATGGCCTGCAGGTGCTCCACCCTCAGCCCTGTCAGAGGAAGCTGAGGTTGCTTCTGGGTCCGGTAACCCTCCAGCCTCTCCTGAGCTGCAGAGGCTCAGGGCAGAGAGGCGGAGGGAACTAAGTTCCCGCAGGAAGAATGCTCACCTCCAGGCCAGGAGAGGCGAGTCTCCTGTGGATCGGGGCTGCCCTATGCCTCGGGGGAGATAAAAGCCAGCCAGCGCAGGCCCAGGTGGTGGGAGCAACATCATTGGTTGTCAGTACCAGCCTAACTTCCCTGCTGGAGCTCCTGACCTCACCCGATGCCCTGCCCTGCACCCAGCTTCGACTTCTATGAACTGCCGTCATTTTGCACCATTGACCTCGGACTGGACTCGGACCTCGCCTCTTGGTTAGCCCCCAGGACCAGACAGTGTGTGTGCTTTCCTCATGTGGAAATTGCAAACTTCAACTTCCTCCCTTTATTTGTACCTCCAGCTGACAACAATCAAGCCTAGAGTGCCACTCACACACACTAAACAAAATTCTGAAACCCTCTTTAAAGCTTCAAGGAACTTTTATCTTTTTCTTAAAGAATATTTTCCTAACACTATCATAATATTTTGCACTTACCGCTTCCCATGATGCTTTAACAGCAACATCTAGAAGCAAAACACAGAAAATGTAAAGTTATAAAGAAAATCCATACAGTGGTACCTCGCAAGACGAATGCCTCACAAGACAAAAAACTCACTAGACGAAAGGGTTTTTTGTTTTTTGAGCTGCTTCGCAAGACGATTTTCCCTATGGGCTTGCTTCGCAAGACGGAAACGTCTTGCAAGTTTGTTTCCTTTTTCTTAACACCGTTAATACAGTTGCGACTTGACTTCGAGGAGCAACTCATAGAACGCGGTGTGGTAGCCTTTGTTGAGGTTTTTAAAGACTTTGGTGATGTTTGAAGCTTTTCCAAAACTTTCCCGACACCGTGCTTCGCAAGACGAAAAAAATCGCAAGACGACAAAACTCGTGGAACGAATTAATTTCGTCTTGCGAGGCACCACTGTATATTGAATAACAGTTCATATTAGAACAGTTATTTCTAGGAACAAAAAATGAGCATTGTATCTTCTACATCCTTTGTTATCCTGAAAGTACACCCATAATGTGGCTTGGAAATATGCAATTTACTTTAAATGTCACAGGGGATGGATTGGAAGATAATCAAATCAATGGAAAATGGTGTAATCAGTTAAATAGGAATAACTGAATATACTGATTCATTTACTAGCTAACTGGGTACCAGTTTTTTATTTCAGTGGACTACCCAGCTGTGGTGCCGTGTGTGTTTATAATTGTTCCCAAGTCCACTATTTATCTTACAAGAGCCATGTGGAGATTGTGAAGGAAGCATGGTGTGTGGTGGTAGTAGCTTCAGGGGGCATTAATGTTTGAAGTCTCACCTCACAAAGAGGTTCCTATTGGGTGGAAAGTGCTGGGTACTATCTGGAATGAAGAGCCCTGATGGATTGTGAATCTCACATGGCAAGCCATTCATTCTGGTTCCTCCTGACATGTATCATTTCATGTAGGAGGAACCTTGAGAATAGACATGTTTCAGTATTCAAATGAATGTGGGAAAGGCTCAAGTGTGTGTGTGTGTGTGTGTTTTGGGGGGATGTGTGTCCCTATGTTTGACCAATGTCCTTTCCTTCATTTAGCTTTCAGACATTGAATACCAAGGTATGCAGGGAGATTTTAACTGGATTTAATTAACACAGGTGGAGCCTTCCTACACTCATCTGAAGACATGAATAGTCTATGGACTGTTTGGTCCCTACACCTCTCCAAGAAAGAGAAATTTTGCAATATGAAATATTACTCACCTGAGTACAAAAAGAAGACCATCAGAGTGAGGAGGAGAAAGCTGCTTGGCTTCATGATTTTGCTGGTGGGTTTGGATCTGTTGGCCTCTTAGTGCTTTTCCAAGCAGTAGATGCTTTTCAGATCCCACTGGTTACTGATGAGGTATGGCATCTCTTCCATGTATTTATGGAAGTTTCTGCAGCCTTGATGATGAAATCTCCCAATTTCTGAGAAATATTTACACGTGCAAATGTGATTATACAGGACTGCAATGTTTTCTGCCAGTTTTAATGGTTCCCCTTAAGTGCACATTCCCCGTGTGTGCAAGAAATATTTGGCAACCAGATCCTTAGGAAATACGGCTTCTGATGCAATGATGACATTGCTGCTACAGGTCACAAAAATTGAGGTACAAACAAAACAGTTTTAGAAATTCTGGGATTCTTTTGACCAAAGGCAAACATTTTAGCACAAAGAAAAACAAAGGAGCCTTACTCGTTCAGCATGTAAGTCATAAAATAAAAGAGGTATTGTTGTCCCAGAAAGCTATACAAACACATTATATACGTCAAACACACTTATTATCTTCAATTGTTTAAAACCACAGAAGTGGAAAACAAGCATAGAGAAAACAAGATTTGCTTGATAGGAGAAAACAAGCCATGAATGTATGGCGTGAGCATCTTGGATTTCCATTGTTTGAGGCCATTTTCTTCTGAATACAAGTTACTGGGAAAACAGCAGGTGGGTCCAGTGTTTTTACCCTCAGGTCCTGCTTGCAGGCATCTCATAGGTATCTGGTTGTCAGCTGTGAGAACAGGATGCTGGGACAGAAGAGACACGGGCATGATCCCACATCTTGGCCAATTTTGGAAACAAGAAGCTGGCAGGAGAAAGTCTGGACCTTGGGTCTGGAGAGTTTGGAGGGTTCCAAATCTTGGCAGAGCTATGTCCCACTTTGTCGCTCAAAGGAGCTTCCCCTGATCCTATGCATTTTTACTCAGCATTAAGCCTTATGAAGTAAGGATTCTCTTTCAAGGAAGAGTGAATAGGATTGAAGCCTGACACTTTATCAGATGTTTGCACAACATGGGGGTACTTCCTGCCTTTCCCTGCCATAAGCGGATATTCTGATGAGCAGTTGAGTTGCCTTCCAGTGGAAAAGGCTGAAGGATGGACGCTATTTTCTCTGCTCTGTTGAGATTTCCTTGTGGAACAATACCTGTGAAATTGAGGAGCTCTTCTGCTTTTCTCTCTCACTAAAACAAGATGGCTGCTGCCTCTCAAAGATGTCCTGAATGAACTGGGCAACTGGGCATATGTACCCAGGTGGGGAAAGCAAGGAGGAGAGAAATCCCATTTCATTAACATTAATTCATATGATGGCAACTGAATTTTCAATGTGTACTTTTCTCTTATTTCTCTCTCTGTTTTTTTTTTATTTTCTTCTATTAAAAATCAATAGAAAAGAAAAGAAATGTATCATGTCAGGGGGGTGGGTCCTAGTCTCAGTCTCTAATCACCTGGCTGTGTACAGGTGTTTTTGGGGGAGTTTTTAATCTGCAGAACTCAATTGCCAGAACTCAGAAATGTCATAGTCGAACGGGAGAAGATTCTGCTGATTGTTTGACTCACTTCCTTGATTGTCCGTTATTAGTAAGAAACTTCAACACCAATCTCTCGTCCAAATCATATAATATTTTATAGAATAGATAATACACAAATAAATGTATGGAGAGCTTGATAATGTTGTGGAGCTTATTTATTGATAAACTGAATTAAGATGTTGCGAGATATTCAATGGCTCACAGAGCATAAGCAAAGCGAAGAATCGATTTTTTTTTGTAGTGTTGCAATGAGTGAAGCTTGAATAGAAATGGGACTTCCTTTGCAGATGTTTCATAGTCTTGTGCATCTTAAGCTGCTATGCATTTTCCGAAGTATTTCAGTTTCAGCTTTCCTCCACTTTTGCTGATGAGAGAAAAAGAAGTAAATAAATATGAGAATTTGTAAGATGCAACTTTCATTATAACTCCTTAAAGAGAAATACTATATAGGTGGGAAAGCTTATGCCATAATTGCTATGTGTCTTGGGAACGGGAAAGGGCTGAGGAAGAATCTGGTCAGAGACCCTGGAAAATTACTTCCCGTCAGCCTAGCCAATATTGAGCAAGCGGGACCAAAGCACTTTTCAGGTCTACCACTTTGGGGGAAGATTCCCCTTCTCCAGCCTTCACTGTACATCTGTGTCAAACTTCTCTAGCAGCAAATGTTCAGACTTTTACCTAGTGCAATTTCAAGATCCACATTAAGGAAACACCTAGTGTAGGCCTTTGTTACCTTCAGAATAATGTTCTTATTGCCCCCTGATTCCCTGATGAGGATTTTTGTTATTTTTCTTCTGGGCCAACCCTACTACCTTTTGTGTTGTGTCTGGTGTTGTGGGATGGGATAGTGTTGGGATGCTCCTAAGGAATTGAGGGCAATTGGTAAGCCCCCAGCTGTCCCCAACCCACGGGCCAACATGCCGGTCGAACTCCAGTCCTTTGTGCAGCATGACTCTGCGACCCAGAGCTTCAGAAGTTCAGAAGCTGGACACACAACTCAGCAGAGTAAACACACAACAGAAGTGGCAGGGAGAGGCTGTGTAAAGCATATTTACAAGCAGTTTATTCAGCATACATCAGGACAAAAGGAAAAACATGTCTTCTCCCCTTCATGTCCAAAAGCAAGCAGCTTAAGCAATAGCTACACACAAACGGAAGTTCCCAGCAAGTTGTGCTGGAGTGTAAACAGGCATGTGACACACAACAGTCATGCCTGTTCCTCTTAAGGTGGAATGGAATATTCTTACAGATAGAGCCCATTTGGGGATATTTCCCCTCCCCATCCCCCTGGATCGCTCTTAGCAGCAGCAACAAGAGGGTGGTGCATGTGAATAGCCCTCCCAAGCCACTCCATCTTCAAATCAGGGCTACCTACAGATTAGCTCCGCTCACCATGTTCCTTTGGGCCTCATAAGCAACACAAAACTCAGGGCCATGGGCTAGAACCACACATTGTGCAAAATGATTCCAGCACTGCCCGGGGGGGGGGGTGTCCCCCGCTTGACTTTCCCTTCTACATGGGTGCTGATTCTCAATTTCTTTTTATTTCGTTTATTTACATCTCACCATGCTGAGTGCAAATATAATCATTTACTTTTTAACTTCCAACAAAGATGTCTGAGAGGAAAAAAAAGATTCCTGCACTCCAGGAGGCTGGACTACATGACTCTCAGGGTCCCTTCCAACTCTATGATTCCATGATATACTCACAAATATGCATTGCAGAAGTCACACTGGTTGCCATAGGTCTCGCCATTGGAACCGCAGTGGGGACGTTTCTCAAAGATGCATGCTGGGTTTGGATGCCCTTTGCAATATTCCTGAAGACGAAGGACACAACACTTTTAATGGTCCTCCCCACTTAACCTTTGGACTGCAAGGCCTTTCTGATTATGACATGATTAATAATGAGGCAAAGATGAGGAATGCAAATGACAATTCAACAAGTGTTGTATTAAGGTGTGCATTCAAGCACAGGAAATGCTGATTTATTGTCCTGGCAAGCAGGGAATTGTGTGATAATGTTGTTCTCTATTCATCCTAAGTTCCGACTCACGGGGGTTGAAACCTGTCAGATTGTAGATGGTCGGTGCTAGGGATTTCATGCAAGACACCTTAAAGTTTAAAATATTGCAGGGTTAGAAGAGGTACAAAGTTTTTCACACTGCCAAACAAAATTTGCAGACATGGTAGTCCCTTCAGAGAAGATTAATCCTGCCAGATTGCGAGTGGGCAGCTCCAGGGGTTTCATGCTAGACACATTTAACTGTTGTTTTTGCAAATAAATACTTTTAAAAAACACACAGTGAGTGCCTGAATTCATGACAGTGGCTAAATAATATGTCTGCAAGGTTGGGCGGTCTGTCTAGTAATAACAGAATAACCCCAGTAGGCTACAACAGAACACAAGCTGAGACTTTCTTACAAATTGTGGGTAGCAACTGGAACTAATAATAATTCCACCGCCTTTTTTAAAAAAAGGAATGGGACTAGAGATGTGAAATCCTGAGGAATAACCCAGCTCTTGTATGTTATATTTGTGTCGATGTGTTTTTGTTGTCTGTATTATAAATTCTGTTTTAAAAATTGGCACACACACACGCACGCGTGCACACACACACACACACACACACATAAACACACAGAGAATATTTTAAAATTCCACAAGAAATATAAATTCACTTATCTTAACTCCATGCTACTTCCATGTTCTATCATAAGAATAAATGATTTCCCACTTACCTCTTCAAATGATGCTTTAACAACAACATCTAGATGCAAAACACAGAAAATGTGAAAATGATTTAGCAAATCCGTATGTTGAATAATAGTCCATTTGATAACATTTATTTCTAGTAACCGAAAAGTGGGATGCATTGTATCTTGTACATCCTATGTTATCCTAAAAGTGCCTTGGCAATATGCAGTTTCCTTTAAATGCCACTGAGCATGGATAGGAAGACAATCAAATCAATGGGAAATGGTTCAGTCCGTTAACTACACTAAATACAAATAACTATATATACTGGTTTAGTCCATAACTAACTGGGACCCAGTTCTGTCGATTTCCCTTGAATGCCTGGCTGTGGTGCTTTGCGTGTTTAGAATCATGGCTAGGTCCACTTTTTATGTCACAAGAGCCACGTGGAGACCATGAAGAAAGGAGGGAGCATGGTAGCTTCAGGGGACATTAGTGTTACGAGCCTCAGCTTTCAAAAAGGCTCCCATTGTGTGAAAAGTGGTGGGTACCTTGTGTAATGTAGATCCCTGATGTAGAGTACCTTTATTTGATAGAGTAAATCTCACATAGCAAGACATTCATTCTTGCTCTTCCCCCCATGTATAATTTCACATAGGAGGAACTTTGAGAACAGACATGTTTCAGTGTTCAAAAGAATGAGAGAAAGGAGAGAAAGGTGTGTGTGTGTTGGGGAGATGTGTGCCCCTGTCCTTAGTGTCCCTATGATTGACCACAATGTCCCCTCCTTCCTTTAGCTTTCAGACAGCGAACACCATGGTTTGCAAGGAGATTTTAACTGGATTTGGCCACCACAGGTGGAGCCTTCCTACACTCATTTGAAGGCATGAATAGTCTATGGACTGTTTGGTCCCTACACCTCTCCAAGAAAGAGAAATTTTGCAATATGAAATACGACTTACCTGAGTACAAAAAGAAGACCATCAGAGTGAGGAGGAGAAAGCTGCCTGGCCTCATGATGATGCTGGTGAGTTTAGTTCTGTCTGCCTCTTAGTGTTTTTCCAAGCAGTAGATGCTTCTCAGATTTCACTGGCTGCAGTGAGGTCTGGACTCCTGCTATAAATATATAGACGTCATTGTGGCACCAATGATGAAATCTCCCAGTCTCAAGAAATATTTACATGTGGAAATAGGACATTACAGAGGGCAGCAATGTGATGTACAATGCATAACAGTTCCCTTCCTCTGCAGAAACAAGGGACATGCAAGAGTATGTGGTAACCAGTAGCTTAGGAAGTTGCATGCAAAGTAGCTTGTCTTGACCATAAGCCAAAGCAAGGCTGAAAAAAGACTCCAGTGATAAATTACATGTCATATAGTATTTGTCAAAAAATAATTTATTACACGGACTCCTAGCCAACACTGATTTTAGATTGCAGGGGTGGGGAGATATATATTGCAGGGGTGGAGAGTTTAGATGTGGCTATCATGAAAACCTATGGAACAAGTCTAACTCGTTCAACATGTAAGCTATAAAATAAAAGAGGTATTGTAAAGGTTGTCCAAGGAAGCAGGACAAACACGTTATATACGTCAAACACACCTATTATCTTTAATTATTTGAAAACCCCAGAAGTGGAAAACAAGCACAGAGAAAACAAGATTTGCTGATAGGAGAAAACAAGCTATCAATGTTTGGCGTGAGCATCTTGGATTTTCATTGTTTGAGGCAATTTTCTTCTGAATACAAATTACTGGAAAACAGAAGGTGGGTCTAGTGTTTTTGCCCTCAGGTCCTGCTTACAGGCATCCCATAGGTATCTAGTTGTCAGCTGTGAGAACAGGAGGCTGGGACAGAAGAGACATGGGCATGATCCAGGAGGGGTATTCTTGTGTTCTTCCGATGCTCAGATTATTATCTCAAGGTCACCTTCATCATTTTCCAATTCTCTTTGAAGCAGTATATTGTCATAGATTTAAGGGGGGGGGACACCCTTAAACCCTAGAAATGACTATATGCAAGGATTTTGATTAACTGGGATATGGATTAAAATACAAGTTGCTCTGCCAGACAGAGAATTCCTGGACTTTCATATCCAAACCAGCCTGGTTGGCTTAGTGAAGAGCAAACCTGTTAACATGACAAAGGGCCAACAAGGAGGAATCCACGATGGGGATGTTAACAAGGTGAAGGAGTGTATGTTTGAGGTGACAGGAAAAGGAAGTCTGGAAGTAAAGGATGCTGGGAGGAATAAGAAGCAGGAAAAAGAACAGGGATCCATCTTGGGAAGACTGGCTGAAGGCTGCCTTCGCTGCTGTGGGGTACAAGTCCCTCTTGAAATGCCCATAATTGTAATATCTGGACTCCCTCCATGCAGATCGAAGGTGTACATAGCTTAAGAAAACATATTTCTTAAAGCCAAGACAGTATCCTCCGCATCCTCAATTCTCCAAAGAAACAGAGACCCTGTGTGGGCGCCTGGGCTGTTGCCACCACTTGGCAGAGAAAGGGGCAGGCATTCAACTTTTGTAGCAATATTCATTCTATTGAGATCACAGTGGTTTGGAAAGATCTTGATACTTCTAAAAAGAAGGATGATGCAACCATCATTCAGCAAAACTTTAGAACTAAGGAGTCGCACCTACAATTGTGAGGCGTGAATTCTGTCTCATCTCCCTCCTAATCACTGCAGCATCTCTCTCCAACTTATCCCTTCGCTTATTAGCCACCCACGTATAGTCCACACCAACATCCCCTCTCCATTCATCAGACTAGCAGTTCTCTGCCCAATTTCCCTCATAAGTTTGGGTGTCTTTTACATGATACATCTTGGCCAATTGTGGAAACAAGAAGCTGACAGAAGAAAGTCTGGACCCTGGGTTCAGAGAATTTGGAGGTTTCCAAATCTTGGCAGAGCTATGTCCTACATTTTCCCTCAGAGGCTCTTCTCCTGATCCTAAGCATTAAGCCTTATGAAGTAAGGATTTGCTTTCAAGGAAGAGTGAATAGGATTGAAGCTTGACACTTTATCAGATGTTTGCACAACATGGGGTACTTCCTGCCATTCCCTGCCATAAGCAGATACTCTGATGAGCAGTTGAGTTGCCTTCCAATGGAAAAGGCTGAAGGATGGACACTATTTTCTCTGCTCTGTTGAGATTTCCTTGTGGAACAATACCTGTGAAATTGAGGAGCTCTTCTGCCTTTCTCTCTCACAAAAACAAGATGGCTGCTGCCTCTAAGAGAAGTCCTAATGAACTTGGCAACTGGGCATATGTAGAACAGGATGATGGACCTGGTGGGCCATTGGTCTGATCCAGAAGCTTCTTCTTACATTCCCCTTGTGCAGCAGAACGCTCTCCCCTTCTCTCTCTCCTCCTCCTCCTCCTCCTCTGCATAGCCTAACCTGCCCTAGGGATTTCCCAAATCCAGCAGAGCAACATAGGCGACACAGTATGACACCCAGGTGGGGAAAGCAAGGAGGAGAGAAATCCCATTGCATTAACATTAATTCTTCTGCTGGCACAATGATGTAGCTGGGTACCCACTTGAATGGCATATATCAATTCATATGATGGCAACTGAATTTTCAATGTGTACTTTTCTCTTATTTCTCTGTCTGTTTTTTTATTTTCTACTATTAAAAATCAATAGGGGGGAAAAAAAGAAATGTATCATGGCAGGGGTATGGGTTTTTTTAATCTGCAGAACTCAATTGCCAGAAGTCAGAAATGTCATACTCGAAAGGGAGAAGATTCTGCTGATTGTTTGACTCAGTTCCCTGATTGTGCGTTATTAGTAACAAACTCCAAGACCATTCTCTTGCCCAAATCATATAATATTTTTAAGAATAGATAATACACAAATAAATGTATGGAGAGTTTGATAATGTTGCTGAGCTTATTTATTGATAAACCGAATTAAGATGTTGCGAGATATTCACTGGCTCACAGAGGATAAGCAAAGAGAAGAATGGATTTTTTTGTGGTGATGCGATGAGTGAAGCTTAAAGAGAAATGGGACTTCTTTTGTAGATGTTTCATAGTCATGTGCATCTTAAGCTTTTTGGCATTCTCCATAGTATTTCAGTTTCAACTTTCTTCCACTTTCGCTGATGAGAAAAAAAGAAGTAAATAAATATGAGAATTCATAAGATGCAGCTTTCATTATAACTCCTTAAAGAGAAATACTATATAGGTGGGAAAGCTTATGCCATCATTGCTCTTTGTCTTGGGATGGGAAAGGGCTGAGGAGGAATCCTGTCTGAGACCCTGGAAAACAGCTTCCTGTCAGCCTAGCCAATATAGAGCAAGAGAGAACAATATTCTTTTCAGGTCTACCATTTGTAGAAGATCCCCCTTCTCCCGCCTTCATCGTACATCTGTGTCAAACTTCTCTAGGAGCAAATGTTCAGACTTTTCCTAGAGCAATTCCAAGATCCACATTAAGGAAACACCTAGTGTAGGCCTTTGTAATGTAGGCCTTCATAATAATGTTCTTACTATCCCCTAATTGTGGGACATGGGTGGCGCTGTGGGTTAAACCACAGAGCCTAGGACTTGCCGATCAGAAGGTCGGCGGTTCAAATCCCCACGACGGGGTGAGCTCCCGTTGCTCGGTCCCAGCTCCTGCCAACCTAGCAGTTCAAAAGCACGTCACAGTGCAAGTAGATAAGTAGGTACTGCTCCGGCGGGAAAGTAAACGGCGTTTCCGTGCACTGCTCTGGTTCACCAGAAGCGGCTTAGTCATGCTGGCCACATGACCCAGAAGCTGTACGCCGGCTCCCTCGGCCAATAAAGCAAAATGAACGCTGCAACCCCAGAGTCGGTCACAACTGGACCTAATGGTCAGGGGTCCCTTTACCTTTATCCCCTAATTCCCAGATGGCTTTTTGGGTTATTTTTCTTCTGGGCCAACCCTACTACCTTTTGTGTTGTGGCTGGCCTGGTGGGATGGCAATAGAGCCCTTCTGGGCATATTTCCCCTGCCCCCCATCACTCTTAGCAGCAGCAACAAGAGTGTCAGGAGGGTGGTGCATGTGAATAGCCCTCCCAATCCACTCCATTTTCAAATTCAGGGCTACCTACAGATTAGCTCTGCTCACCATGTTCCTTTGGGCCTCATAAGCAACACAAAACTCAGGAGAGGGGTGTCCCCCCACTTGACTTTCCCTTCTACATGGGTGCTGATTCTCTTTTTCTTTTCCGTTCTTTTATTTACATCTACCATGCTTAGTGCAAATATAATCATGTACTTTTTAACTTCCAACAAAGATGTCTGAGAGGGGGAAAAAGATTCCTGCACTCCAGGAGGTTGGAATACATGACTCTTGGGGTCCCTTTAGACTGCATGATTCTTTGATATACTCACATATATGCATTGCAGAAGTCACACTTGTTGCCATAGGTCTTGCCATCAGAACCGCAGTGGGGACGGTATTCCAAGGTGCATCCTGGTTTTGGATATCCTTTGCAATATTCCTGAAGACAAAGGACACAACAGTTTTAAAGGTCCTCCCCACTTAACCTTTGGACTGGAAGACCTTTCTGATTATCACATGCCTAAGAAAGAGGCAAAGATGAGGAATGCAAATGACAATTCAACAAGTGTTATATTAAGGTGTGCATTAAAGCACAGGGAAATGCTGATTTATCGTCCTGGCAAGGAGCGAATTGTGTGATAAAGTTGTTCTCTATTCATCCCAAGTTCCCACTTGGGGCATATGATTTGGTGACATGGTAAGGCCCCATTGCGGGGGCTTAAACCTGTCAAATTATAGATCATCAGTGCCTGGGATTTCATGCAAAACACCTTTAAAGTTTAAAATATTGCAGGGTTAGAACAGGCACAAAGTTTTTCACACTGCCAAACAAAATTTGCAGACATGGTAGTCCCTTCAGAGAAGATTAATCCTGCCAAATTGTGAGTGGGCAGCTCCAGGGGTTTCATGCTAGACACATTTAACTGTTGTTTTTGCAAATAAATACTTTTAAAAAACACACAGTGAGTGCCTGAATTCATAAGACAGTGGCTAAATAATATGCCTGCAAGGTTGGGCGGTCTATCTAGTAATAACAGAATAACCCCAGTAGGCTACTACAGAACACAAGCCGAGACTTTCTTACAAATTGTGGGTAGCAACTGGAACTAATAATAATACCACCAACTTTTTTTAAAAAAGGGATGGGACTAGATATGTGTAATCATGGGAAAAACCCAACTCTTGTATGTTATATTTGTGCCAATGTGTTTTTGTTGCCGGTATTTTAAATTCTGTTTTCAAAATTGACACACACAGAAACGTTCAGAGAGAGAGAGAGAGAGAGAGAGAGAGAGAGAGAGAGAATATTTTAAAATCCACAAGAAAAATAAATTCACTTATCTTAACTCCACGGTACTTCCATGGTCTATCATAAGAATAAATGATTTCCCACTTACCGCTTCCCATGTTGCTTTCACAACAACATCTAGATGCAAAACACAGAAAATGTGAAAATTATTTAGAAATTCCATATGTTGAATAATAGTCTATTTGATAACATTTACCCCTTCATGGATCACTGCCTTGCTGTGGCGAAGGGGCTTGAATAACTCAGAGAAGCTATGAGCTATGCCGTGCAGGGCCACCCAAGATGGACAGGTCATAGTGGAGAGTTTTGACCAAATGTGATCCACCTGGAGCAGGAACCGGCAAGCCACTCCAGTATCCCTGCCAAGAAAACTCCATGGACAAAGACAAAGGGCATATAAAAGTTATGACGCTGGAAGATGAGCCCCTCAGGTCGGAAGGCGTCCAACATGCTACTGAGGAAGAGCGGAGGACAAGTACAAGTAGATTCAGAGCTGATGAAGCGGCTGGGCCAAAGCCGAAAGGACGCTCAGTTGAGGATATGCCTGGAAGCGAAAGGAAAGTCCAATGCTGTAAAGAAAAATATTGCATAGGAACCTGGAATGTAAGAACCATGAACCTTGGTAAGTTGGATGTGGTCAAAAATGAGATGGCAAGAATAAATATTGACATCCTTGGCATCAGTGAACTAAAATGGACGGGAATGGGCGAATTCAGTTCGGATGACCATCATATCTACTACTGTGGGCAAGAATCCCGTAAAAGAAATGGAGTGGCCCTCATAGTCAACAAAAGAGTGGCAAAAGCGGTATTGGGATGCAATCTCAAAAATGATAGAATGATCTCGATACGAATCCAAGGTAGACCTTTTAACATCACAATAATCCAAGTTTATGCACCAACCACTGGTGCTGAAGAAACTGAAACTGACCAATTCTATGAAGACTTACAACACCTTATAGAATTGACACCAAAGAAGGATGTTCTTCTCATTATAGGGGATTGGAATGCTAAAGTAGGGAGTCAAGAGATAAAAGGAACAACTGGCAAGTTTGGCCTTGGAGTTCAAAACGAAGCAGGGCAAAGGCTAATAGAGTTCTGCCAAGAGAACAAGCTGGTCATCACAAACACTCTTTTCCAACAACACAAGAGACGACTCTACACATGGACATCACCAGATGGGCAGCATCGAAATCAGATTGATTATATTCTCTGCAGCCAAAGATGGAGAAGCTCTATACAGTCAGCAAAAACAAGACCTGGAGCTGACTGTGGCTCAGATCATCAGCTTCTTATAGCAAAATTCAAGCTTAAACTGAAGAAAGTAGGAAAAACCACTGGGCCAGTAAGATACAATCTAAGTCAAATCCCTTATGAATACACAGTGGAAGTGAGGAACAGGTTTAAGGATTTAGATTTGGTGGACAGAGTGCCAGAAGAACTATGGATGGAAACTCGCAACATTATACAGGAGGCAGCAACGAAAACCATCCCAATGAAATGGAAATGCAAGAAAGCAAAGTGGCTGTCCAACGAGGCCTTACAAATAGCGGTGGAGAGAAGGCAAGCAAAATGCGAGGGAGATAGTGAAAGATACAGGAAACTGAATGCAGAGTTCAATAAAATAGCAAGGAGAGACAAGAAGGCCTTCTTAAACGAGCAATGCAAAGAAATAGAGGAAAACAACAGAATGGGAAGAACCAGAGATCTGTTCAAGAAAACTGGAGTGATGAAAGGAACATTTCGTACAAAGATTACCATAATAAAAGACAAAAATGGAAAGGACCTAACAGAAGCAGAAGACATCAAGAAGAGGTGGCAAGAATACACAGAGGAATTATACCAGAAAGATAAGGATGGCTCGTACATCCCAGGTAGTGTGGTTGCTGACCTTGAGCCAGACATCCTGGAGAGTGAAGTCAAATGGGCCTTAGAAAGCACTGCAAATAACAAGGCCAGTGGAAGTGATGGTATTCCAGCTGAACTATTTAAAATTTTAAAAGATGATGCTATTAAGGTGCTACACTCAATATGCCAGCAAGTTTGGAAAACTCAGCAGTGGCTACAAGAAGCTACAGTTAGAACTGGATACGGAACAACTGATTGGTTCAAAATTGGGAAAGGAGTACGGCAAGGCTGTATATTGTCCCCCTGCTTATTTAACTTATATGCAGAATTCATCATGCGAAAGGCTGGGCTGGATGAATCCCAAGCTGGAATTAAGATCACCGGAAGAAATATCAACAACCTCAGATATGCAGATGACACAACCTTGATGGCAGAAAGTGAGGAGGAATTAAAGAACCTTTTAATGAGGGTGAAAGAGGAGGAGAGCGCAAAATATGGTCTGAAGCTCAACATCAAAAAAACGAAGATCATGGCCACTGGGTCCATCACCTCCTGGCAAATAGAAGGGGAAGAAATGGAGGCAGTGAGAGATTTTACTTTCTTGGGCTCCATGATCACTGCAGATGGTGACAGCAGTCACAAAATTAAAAGACACCTGCTCCTTGGGAGAAAGGCAATGGTAAACCTAGACAGCATCTTAAAAAGCAGAGACATCACCTTGCCAACAAAGGTCCGTATAGTTAAAGCCATGGTTTTCCCAGTAGTGATGTATGGAAGTGAGAGCTGGACCATAAAGAAGGCTGATCGCTGAAGAATTGATGCTTTTGAATTATGGTGCTGGAGGAGTCTCTTGAGAGTCCCATGGACTGCAAGAAGATCAAACGCATCCATTCTTAAGGAAATTAGCCCTGAGTGCTCACTGGAAGGACAGATCGCGAAGCTGAGGCTCCAATACTTTGGCCACCTCATGAGAAGAGAAGACTCCCTGGAAAAGACCCTGATGTTGGGAAAGATTGAGGGCACAAGGAGAAGGGGACGACAGAGGACAAGATGGTTGGATAGTGTTCTCGAAGCTATCAGCATGAGTTTGACCAAACTGCGGGAGGCAGTGGAAGACAGAAGTGCCTGGCGTGCTCTGGTCCATGGGGTCACGAAGAGTCGGACACGACTAAACGACTAAACAACAACAATTTCTAGGAACTGAAAAGTGAGATGCACTGTATCTTTTATCCTAAAAATGCATCTATAATTTGCCTTGGCAATATACAATTTCCTTTAAATGTCACTGAGCATGGATAGGAAGACAATCAAATCAATGGGAAATGGTTCAGTCCGTTAACTACACTAAATACAAATAACTGTATATACTGGTTTAATCCATAAACTAACTGGGACCCAGTTCTGCTGATTTCCCTTGAAAGCCCGGCTGTGGTGCTTTGCGTGTTTAGAATCATGGCTAGGTCCACTTTTTATGTCACAAGAGCCACGTGGAGACCATGAAGAACGGAGGGTACATGGTAGCTTCAGGGGGCATTAGTGTTTTGAGCCTCAGCTTTCAAAAAGGCTCCTATTGTGTGAATAGTGGTGGGCACATTGTGTAGTGTAGAGCCCTGATGGAGAGTATCTTTATTTGATAGAGTAAATCTCACATAGCAAGACATTCATTCTGGTTCTTTCTAGCATGTATGATTTCATATAGGAGAAGCTTGAGAACACACATGTTTCAGTGCCCAAATGAATGTGGGAAGGCTCAAGTGTGTATGTGTTTTGGGGGGATGTGTGTCCCTGCCTCCAGTGTCCCTATGCTTAACAACAATGTCCCCTCCTTCCGTAAACTTTCAGACAGCGAACACAATGGTTTGCAGGGAGATTTTAACTGGATTTAGTCAACACAGGTGGAGCATTCCTACACTCATCTGAAGACATGAATAATCTATGGACTGTTTGGTCCCTACACCTCTCCAAGAAAGAGAAATTTTGCAATATGAAATATTACTCACCTGAGTACAAAAAGAAGACCATCAGAGTGAGGAGGAGAAAGCTGCTTGGCTTCATGATTTTGCTGGTGGGTTTGGATCTGTTGGCCTCTTAGTGCTTTTCCAAGCAGTAGATGCTTTTCAGATTCCACTGGTTACTGATGAGGTCTCGTATCTCTTCCATGAATTTATGGAAGTTTCTGCAGCCTTGATGATGAAATCTCCCAATTTCTGAGAAATATTTACACATGCAAATGTGATTACACAAGACTGCAATGTCTTGTACCAATTTTAATGGTTTCCCTTTCAATGCACATTCCACGTGTATGCAATAAACATTTGGCAACCGGTTCCTTAAGAAATACGGCCTTCTAGTGGGATGATGACATTGCAGTTGCAGGTCACAAGAAATGAGGTACAAACAAATCAGTTTTAGAAATGTTGGGATTCTTTTGATCATAGGCAGTTGTTTTAGTACAAAGAAAAACAAAGGAGCCTTACTCCTTCAGCATGTAAGCCATAAAATAAAAGAGGTATTGTTGTCCCAGAAAGTAATACAAACACATTATATACGTCAAACACTTATTATTTTTAATTGATTAAAACCGCAGAAGTGGAAAACAAGCACAGAGAAAACAAGATTTGCTTGATAGGAGAAAACAAGCCATGCATGTATGGCGTGAGCATCTTGGATTTCCATTGTTTGAGGCCATTTTCTTCTGAATACAAGTTACTGGGAAAACAGCAGGTGGGTCCAGTGTTTTTACCCTCAGGTCCTGCTTGCAGGCATTCCATAGGTATCTGGTTGTCAGCTGTGAAAACAGAATGCTGGAACGGAAGAGACATGGGCATGATCCCATATCTTGGCCAAATTTGGAAACAAGAAGCTGGCAAGAGAAAGTCTGGACCTTGGGTCTGGAGAGTTTGGAGGGTTCCAAATCTTGGCAGAGCCATTCCCCCCTTTGTCGTTCAAAGGAGCTTCCTCTGTTCCTATGTATTTTTACTCAGCATTAAGCCTTATGAAGTAAGGATTCTCTTTCAAGGAAGAGTGAATAGGATTGAAGCCTGACACTTTATCAGATGTTTGCACAACATGGGGGTACTTCCTGCCTTTCCCTGCCATAAAGCCAAGACAGTATCCTCCGCATCCTCAATTCTCCAAAGAAACAGAGAACCTGTGTGGGCGCCTGGACCCCATGGCCTGTTGCCACCACTTGGCAGAGGAAGGGGCAGGCATTCGACTTTTGTAGCAATATTCATTCTATTGAGATCACAGTGGTTTGGAAAGATCTTGATACTTCTAAAAAGAAGGATGAAGCAACCATCATTCAGCAAAACTTTAGAACTAAGGAGTCGCACCAACAATTGTGAGGCGTGAATTCTGTCTCATCTCCCTCCTAATCACTGCAGCATCTCTCTCCAACTTATCCCTTCGCTTATTAGCCACCCATGTATAGTCCACACCAACATCCCCTCTCCATTCATCAGACTAGCAGTTCTCTGCCCAATTTCCCTCATAAGTTTGGGTGTCTTTTACATGATACATCTTGGCCAATTGTGGAAACAAGAAGCTGACAGAAGAAAGTCTGGACCCTGGGTTCAGAGAGTTTGGAGGTTTCCAAATCTTGGCAGAGCTATGTCCTACATTTTCCCTCAGAGGCTCTTCTCCTGATCCTAAGCATTAAGCCTTATGAAGTAAGGATTTGCTTTCAAGGAAGAGTGAATAGGATTGAAGCTTGACACTTTATCAGATGTTTGCACAACATGGGGGTACTTCCTGCCATTCCCTGCCATAAGCAGATACTCTGATGAGCAGTTGAGTTGCCTTCCAGTGGAAAAGGCTGAAGGATGGACACTATTTTCTCTGCTCTGTTGAGATTTCCTTGTGGAACAATACCTGTGAAATTGAGGAGCTCTTCTGCCTTTCTCTCTCACAAAAACAAGATGGCTGCTGCCTCTAAGAGAAGTCCTAATGAACTTGGCAACTGGGCATATGCAGAACAGGATGATGGACCTGGTGGCCCATTGGTCTGATCCAGAAGCTGCTTCTTACATTCCCCTTGTGCAGCAGAACACTCTCCCCTTCTCTCTCCTCCTCCTCCTCCTCCTCCTCTGCATAGCCTAACCTGCCCTAGGGATTTCCCAAATCCAGCAGAGCAACATAGGCGACACAGTATGACACCCAGGTGGGGAAAGCAAGGAGGAGAGAAATCCCATTGCATTAACATTAATTCTTCCACTGGCACAATGTTGTAGCTGGGTACCCACTTGAATGGCATACATCAATTCATATGATGGCAACTGAATTTTCAATGTGTACTTTTCTCTTATTTCTCGGTCTCTTTTTTATTTTCTTCTACTAAAAATCAAAAGAAAAGAAAAGAAAAGAAAAGAAAAGAAAGGTATTATGACAGGGGGGTGGGTCCTAGTCTCAGTGTCTAACTAATCACCTGTCTGTGTACAGGTGTTGTTGTTTTTTGGGGGGGTTTTTTAATCTGCAGAACTCAATTGCCAGAAGTCAGAAATGTCATACTCGAAAGGGAGAAGATTCTGCTGATTGTTTGACTCAGTTCCCTGATTGTGCGTTATTAGTAACAAACTTCAAGACTGATCTCTTGCCCAAATCATATAATAATTTTAAGAATAGATAATACACAAATAAATGTATGGAGAGTTTGATAATGTTGCTGAGCTTATTTATTGATAAACTGAATTAAGATGTTGCAAGATATTCACTGGCTCACAGAGGATAAGCAAAGAGAAGAATGGATTTTTTGGTGGTGATGCAATGAGAAAAGGGATTTCTTTTGTAGATGTTTCATAGTCATATGCAGTTTCTTAAGTTTTTCAGTTTCAGCTTTCTTCCACTTTTGCTAATGAGAAAAAAAGAAGTAAATAAATATGAGAATTCATAAGATGCAGCTTTCATTATAAATCCTTAAAGATAAATACTATATAGGTGGGGAAGCTTATGCCATCTTTGCTCTGTGTCTTGTGGCGGGCAAGGGCTGAGGAAGAATCCTGTCTGAGGCCCTGGAAAACTCCTTCCTGTCATCCTAGCCAATATTGAGCAAGAGGGACCAATATTCTTTTCAGGTCTACCATTTGTGGAAGATTCCGCTTTGCCCGCCTTCATTGTACATCTGAGTCAAACTACTCCAGGGGTAAACGTTCAGACATTTACCTAGAGTAATTCTAAGATCCACATTAAGGAAACACCTAGTGTAGGCCTTTGTAATGCTGGCCTTCATTATAATGTTCTTGTTGTTGTTTAGTGGTTTAGTTGTGTCTGACTCTTCGTGACCCCATGGACCAGAGCACGCCAGGCACTCCTGTCTTTCACTACCTCCCGTAGTTTGGTCAGACTCATGTTTGTAGCTTCAAGAACACTGTTCAACCATCTCGTCCTCTGTTGTCCCCTTCTCCTTGTGCCCTCCATCTTTCCCAGCATCAGGGTCTTTTCCAGGGAGTCTTCTCTTCTCATGAGGTGGCCAAAGTATTGGAGCCTCAGCTTCACGATCTGTCCTTCCACTGAGCACTCAGGGCTGATTTCGTTAAGAATGGATACGTTTGATCTTCTTGCGGTCCATGGGACTCTCAAGAGTCTCCTCCAGCACCATAATTCAAAAGCATCAATTCTTCAGCGATCAGCCTTCTTTATGGTCCAGCTCTCACTTCCATACATCACTACTGGGAAAACCATGGCTTTAACTATACGGACCTTTGTTGGCAAGGTGATGTCTCTGCTTTTTAAGATGCTGTCTAGGTTTACCATTGCCTTTCTCCAAGGAGCAGGCGTCTTTTAATTTCGTGACTGCTGTCACCATCTGCAGTGATCATGGAGCCCAAGAAAGTAAAATCTCTCACTGCCTCCATTTCTTCCCCTTCTATTTGCCAGGAGGTGATGGACCCAGTGGCCATGATCTTCGTTTTTTTGATGTTGAGCTTCAGACCATATTTTGCGCTCTCCTCCTCTTTCACCCTCATTAAAAGGTTCTTTAATTCCTCCTCACTTTCTGCCATCAAGGTTGTGTCATCTGCATATATGAGGTTGTTGATATTTCTTCCGGCGATCTTAATTCCGGCTTGGGTTTCATCCAGCCCAGCCTTTCGCATGATGAATTCTGCATATAAGTTAAATAAGCAGGGGGACAATATACAGCCTTGCCGTACTCCTTTCTCAATTTTGAACCAATCAGTTGTTCCATATCCAGTTCTAACTGTAGCTTCTTGTCCCACATAGAGATTTCTCAGGAGACAGATGAGATGATCAGGCACTCCCATTTCTTTAAGACCTTGCCATAGTTTGCTGTGGTCGACACAGTCAAAGGCTTTTGCATAGTCAATGAAGCAGAAGTAGATGTCTTTCTGGAACTTCCTAGCTTTCTCCATAATCCAGCGCATGCTTGCAATTTGGTCTCTGGTTCCTCTGCCTCTTCTAAATCCAGCTTGCACTTCTGGGAGTTCTCGGTCCACATACTGCTTAAGCCTGCCTTGTAGAATTTTAAGCATAACCTTGCTAGCGTGTGAAATGAGTGCAATTGTGCGGTAGTTGGAGCATTCTTTGGCACTGCCCTTCTTTGGGATTGGGATGTAGACTGATCTTCTCCAATCCTCTGGCCACTGCTGAGTTTTCCAAATTTGCTGGCATATTGAGTGTAGCACCTTAACAGCATCATCTTTTAAAATTTTGATGCTGATAATGTTCTTACTATCCCCTAATTCCCTGAATTTTGGTTATTTTTCTTCTATTACCTATTACCCTGTTACCTTTTGCGTTGAGTCTGGCCTGGTGGGATGGCGATAGAGCCCATTTGGGCATATATCCCCTGCCCCCCCAACACTCTTAGCAGGAGCAATAAGAGTGCCAGGAGGGTGGTGCATGTGAATAGCCCTCCCAATCCACTCCATCTTCAAATTCAGGGCTACCTACGGATTAGCCCTGCTCACCATGTTCCTTTGGGCCTCATAAGCAACACAAAACTCAGGGCCATGGTTTAGAATGCCGCATTGTGCAAAATGATTCCTGCACTGCCCAGGGGAGGGGTGTCCCCCCACTTGACTTTCCTTCTACATGGGTGCTGGTTCTCTTTTTATTTCCATTCTTTTATTTACATCTCACCATGCTTAGTGCAAATATAATCATGTACTTTTTAACTTCCAACA